AATGTTGGAAAACCTGATCCTGCTTGGTGAGGAAGGGAAAAATACTTGTAACTCTCTTAACGATACCGTTTTTGAGTGGTTAGAAGTGTTTCCCACATAGACTAAAAGTGTTCAAATAGTAGCTAAAAAGCTCAGGCATAAATGGATGCTCCAATTTGGCTTCCTTCTAGCAATGATATCCTGGATTTCATAACCCAAACCTTCTTAATTAATAGCTATGTCTTTAGACATAGAGCAGAATCTTCACTGTGTCTAGATCTCAGAGTTCTGATCTGGCATTAAGAATGAATAGGACATCCAATGAAACTCCAACAAAATTCTCACTAGAGTCCAGAAAAAGATGGATGGACTTCCTTGTAGATGAACAGTCACATTAAATAAGAAATACAAAGCCAATTGCAGAGTTAAAAGCCCAAGAGGTCAGAGCAGTAGCTGAGAGCTGAGCTACCCTTTGCTGCCACTGCTGTCCTTCCTCTCAGCAAGAGCCCTACTTCCTGTGTGTCTGTGCTTTATATAGACTTTCTATTCTGCCTTCTCATTGGGTGTAAACCCAACCACATGACGTCCTCATCACTGCCCATCTATACAGACCTCCAGGTCTTCTGTAGTTGGTATTGAGTTTAAAGGTGTGTGTCTCCATGCTGGCTGTATCCTTGAACACACAGAGATCTGCCTGTCATGTGATCAGGATTAAGGACATGTGCTACCACTGCCAGACTTCTGCTATGGCTCCCTGTTAGCTCTTACCCCAGGCAACTTTATTTATTAACATACGAATAAAATCATATTTCAGTCCAAATAAAATATCAACATACTTCCTCCTTTACTGTGTCTCAGTTTACTGTTCCCCATATAGGGAGGGATTAACTACCCATGAGATTATATTTGGAAGAATTCCCCACCTACTTCCCAGGCTCAGAGACAAGCAGTTGACAAAAATCTTTAATCATTCCTTTATTAAGTCACTAAAGACCTTCCAGTTCTCAACACAGGCTATTCCCTGAATTATCTGAGATACCCAGCCATCTTCTGAGTCCACCACCAATTTCACCTTGCTTAAGTAGAGTGATATCCTCTGTGTCAAGTAAGTAACCAAAGGGACACTGGAGCTAATCTGTTAAGGACCCTATAAAGTCCTTTTCTCTACTCCTCTGGTGGTAAATGTAGGTGCTCTTACATCACAGACCCACCACACCCAGATAAAGAAAGTGGAAGCCACAGATGCTATTCTCAAATGGAATGTCTCTGAACTATGAGCCCATTAATAATAAGGTTTCATTGGTCCCCAGGTTCTTGCACTCCCTGCTCTTATACCTCTTACTGAATCTTGTGTTTTTCACTATGGGTATGAACACAGGGTCACAGTCCAAGCCTCACTGCTCTCAGGACTGGACTGGAGATTGAGGATGACAGATACATGGAAGGTATTATCTGATGTGACTACAGACCAGCAGCCTTTATCTCATATTGATCTTTACTTGCTGATGCCTACTTTAAGTGTTTGGCTGTATTGGAGAAATGAATGACCTGAGAGTTTATCTTTTTAGATAGTAATACAGAGTTTATGATTCCATGCATTCCCTGTGGCTTGGTCCTCTAGTTGCCAGCATCAAGGAGGTTTCCATGTAAAACTGGAGAGTCCTAAAAAGATTGATTTAAAAAGATTCTCTTCTGGTCTTTGAGAAATAGGAATAACCTAAGAAATCAGACTCTATTCTGTAGGTGGGACCTTAGGGATAGAGTTTTATCATTAACATCCAAAATCAGCCAGAATTTCTGGTTATGCTTAGACCATGCCCTCATACTACATAGGGATATTAATTAAACAGACTGTCAGCCCATTGACTGACATACTTACAGTGACTGGGGTAGCCTTAATTAACATTAGGAGAGTTACAAAGGACAAAGAAATCTAATATCCCAAATTTTTAACCTACACACTTTTCCTTATTTTGATAGCTGATATTCAGCCTAATGGGATGATTTATAATATATATATATGTATATATGTATATATATATGCAATATTATTCGGCCTCTGGGACTATTTGGTGGACATATACAAATGGTTTTACTCAATGGCTCTTCTAATTGTTTCCAAACTAAGTAGATCTGTTGATCACAACTTAGAGGCATTAAAAGTTCCTGTTTCTGAATTAAAAAACAGATTTCTTTGAAGAAATGTTCCTACAAAATTGGAGAGGCTTAGAGTTCTCATGAAATATAGGAAAGTATGTATGGATTTGGGAGAAACCCGTTTCTCTTTACTAACTGATCAGGAGCAATTAGAGAAGTTCTTGGCATGGTTGTGAAAACGTTTGCTGCCCCTTGCAAACTACTCTGCTATCAGCACTGGGTGGGCATCTAACTCTCATTCTGGTTGGATCATAAACTAAAATGGTCATGATTTGGCTCATTCCCTGAGAACAGTGGTGAATGTAGCAGTGCCCCAGTCCTTAGTAGGCCTCCAGAACTTAGCTCAACTGACTGGATGGTGGAATTGCCATTCAGCTTGGAAAGCTCAGCAAATGGACAGCACCACCTGATGAAATGAAAACAACACACATAGTTTTCAGAAAGACTCTAAATGTATTAAACTTGCTTTTTGCTTCTGTAGTTCCAATTCTAGCTAACTGTTCTTGTTATCTGATATATTTTAATACAGAACATGTTTTTTGTACTTAAAAGCTCATCGTGAGAAATTCTCCATGGTACCCTGGGATTCTGATCACCCAGTATAGTTGCAGGCTGCCTAAGAAAAGTTTTCTATTGGCTTAAATCATGTTCCAAAATTCTTCTCTGGTGAATACCCTAAATACTAAATTGTTACCATCCAGTTATGAGCCCTGCAAGATGCTAAAATAACTGACTTAATAAGACATGCCCTCTGATGCAATAGCCAAAGAAATATTCCATGAATATTCAAATAATTTTCTGTTTGGAACGAGGGCATGTTCTATGAGAAGAAATTCATTAATAGCATAGTTATTTGAAACACAAGAGAGACCATAAGCCCAAGGACAGAATATAATAATATTATTCTGCTAAATGGACATAGAATTAGCATGATTCCTAATAATTTATTTTTCAAACCATAGAAGAGAACATTGACCCATTTTTGTCACAGAAACCTCTCCTCGTAGGTGTAAATTAACAGAGACCTTCAAATGAACATTTTGGAGAGAGTGAGGCAATGGATAATGCTCAGCTTCAGATGAGGAACACAAATTTTTCTCAGGCACAGAAATCTCAGTGATCTTCCAGAGGTTGTAGATAATTAAAAGGAAATTATTTTTCCAGAAAGAACAGAGTAATTGTAGATACAAATGCATGGTATCAGGGGCACCAGAGCTGCAAAAGGTAACACTAGGAAAAAAACAAAAAACAAACAAACAAACAAAAAAACCTCAAGCATAGAAAAGAGAGTTTTGTGTGAAATCATACGACTAGCCATGGGGATTTTGTTCTTGATACATTTTGTGATAGTTATTATCAAAGCTTTGAACTCCAGTAGGTTTTCCACTGTCCAGAAAAGGATCCAGTTTTTGAATAATACAACAACATAGACAGGACACTTTGGGGAGAAAGAAGAAATGTCAAATTGGGTGAACAGGAGGGTTAGTATAAAGGAGAACATATGGAAGGAGTTAGGGGAGGAGTGAATGTGATCAAAACACACTGTACTTAAGTTCTCAATTAATTCATGAAAGCATTTAAAAGCCAACAAGAAAGCAGCCAGACACACCAAAATGATAAATAAAGACAGGCATGTACTGGAAGGGAAATGAGCACAAAAGTCCTTCATAGTGGAAACCAAGAAAAATAGTGGAAACCAAGTTTTCTTTCCTAACAGAAAGACTTGAATGTGTGTGTGTGTGTGTGTGTGTGTGTGTGTGTGTGTGTGTGTGTGTATGTTCACACACATACAATGCATGCATTTTGAGAATTTCTTACATGTATGTAGTCTTCTGAACACATTATAATCAAAATCCCTGTTATATTTTCCATGAAAAGACAGCAGAGATGCTCAAAGCCTCCAACCACTAAGCAATGATAAGCTGATGAAAACTTCAATCACAAAATCTGATCAGTATTTGTTAGATCTCTGTTTTTTTATACATAGAACATCAAAAATTATGTCCAGTTCAAATATGATACTAAAATGTGGGATTTTTTAACTTGGATGCTGTATTATTAGATTTTTAAAATGAAAAAGCACCAAGATAGGTGTGGAGAACATCATACCAGTTTCTTGGAAGAGGACAATGGGAGAGAGAAGAAACACAGCCATGCTTAAGTACTTGAGTTCAGCAAACATGGAGGTCAGACAGAGATGGAGAAGCCACATTGCAGGGAAAATGGCTTCAGAGAAAGAGAAAGGGAGCCCAAGATATCACAGAAGCATAGTGAGGATCTGCCCAGAACCCAAAAGAAAGTAATAGAAAGAAAAAAAAATTAGGATTTTCTGAATTAGCACTCAGCTGTATTCAGAACCAAGTAAAGTTATGACATACTCAAGTACATAAATGTTGTGATCTGAATATTCACTATTATCATACACAGAAAGTTCAATCCTATCTCCTAGGGACTAGTTAAAATTGATTTTGGATTTTAATATATTTCATGCACATTAATTTTTAAAAATTTTGATTAATGTGAAAAACTTAAGAAATTGGCAAAAATGATGAGAAATAAAAATACAAGATTCTGTCTCTTCATAAATGTATTTTAGTAGCCTATGATGTACAATATTGTCACTGGATGACAGCTGTAGAAAATAGACAGACATATTGAAAGGTTTAGAAATCTAAGAATTTGTTGTAGGAATTATTGTCCCTACATTGCATAATTTGCACTGGAAATCAGAGATGTCATTAATTATTTATTCAATTACATTAGATACGAGAGTGAGATTGAATAATTTAATATTTATTAATCTTATTAGACAACATCCTTCTAAAATGAAATCTGAAACAGCATAAATGAACAACACCACTTACTGTATGTGAAAGTCGGTGTAAATGTTTGGCAGATAAGAATGTGGAACTTTGTTGCCTGTGTAGAAAGTATGTACTGGGAAAAATACACCAATGGTTACATCTCCTTCATGGTGAAAATCTTCTTTCATTCTGTAATAACACTCAGAGGAGTTATAGGCATATGCATGACTGTGATTAAACAAGATCCTGATGATAATAACCAAAAGAAAACATCCCACAAACACACATGTCTGCTCAGACATAAGTCTGATGGATCCAGATCTCACAGTGTCCAGCAGGTTTATACTTAGCTCAAGTGTTTGTGACCATATGCGCTTCTAACTTGTTGATGGGTGAGAATGTCACAGTAACACAGAGAGCTGTCACACTCTGAGCACGTTCTTATACCTCTTCCACTGCCACTGAGAATTCTGGAACTCTTTCTTGCCTTGGGCTATGCATCTGAGGCCCTGTATTCAGGTAAAAAATAAGCTGAAAAAATATGTTTATAGATTTTCTTCTGCACCTGTATGCACCATGACTTCAGCTAAAACAACAGGCAGTAAGAGCCCAGGGATGAACTCCTCTTTGGATAATTTGGTCACAAGATTGAAGCAAGAAACTTTTCATATGAAAACAACTGAGATTGTTTTTAACAGTCTACATCAGAGGATGACATTCCAAGTGTAGTGGGTAGAGAAAGGACCAAAGTCCCATGATGGACCGAACCCATTAAAATGATTGAGACATCATGATTTTCCAAACCAAGGAAGTCAGTGGATTCTACCTTGCTTAGTGTCTGTGTCTTAGAGATTCTTTGCTTCTATGATACATTTATATATGCATATTAATATGATGTCCACATGCAGTAAAATCCTTTATTTCTCACTTTGAGAAAATTATTGATCTTACTAAATTATTCAGTTCCAAATGGACCAACTATCTGAGACATGAAGTTTCCTGTTTAGATTCTATGATTTGAGCTACTGCACCTCTAATGTCCTAGTTAATCCTCAGTAAATAATTGGGTAGATGTGTTGTTCTGATAAATACCCGTACCTAGTGCAGTGGGTTTACCAGCTACTTACCCTGTTCTGAGAACATGAGGATGATAGGAAATCCTTCTCTTTTCTCTATAAAGCACAATAATTTAATAGCCTCTAAATATACTCTTCACATAATAAACCAAATGAAGCTGTTATGAGCAGCATTCTATTTCCTAATTCACAGGATAAGTTAACACAGTGAAAGTCTTTTGTATTATGTTATGTAATGAGTGGATGCTCCAACACATGAATAAATTCCCTAAATAAAGGATGGAAGAGTGCTGTGAATAAAAACCCACAGAAAATTGTCTGAGGATTAATAAACGTTATTATTTATTTTTCAGTCATGTGCATTAGAAGACAAACTGAAACATCTCAAATAGTTAAGGTGGTAGTGAAATTAGTAAATCCCTCCATCACTTGTGCTTCACATCAGGAACATAGAAAGCAGGAGGAACTGAATTAACCAAACAGGATATCTAGATGCTGTGTGAATGTCTTCTAAGGGATTGCTATTTATGCACAACATTATTTGAACTTTGTCACTTAGATCCTATGATATGTTGGTTTTGTTTTAGCATATTATATTTTATTTTATATTTTGTTGTGACCTTTTAGAAGCTCATTCTTTTTAAATGAGAGACAGAAATCAAGTGCATCTCCATATGATGGAAGAGTGGGAGGGAGTGGTATGAGTAGAGGGAAGGAAAATTGATTAGGATATATTGTATGAGAAAATAATCTGTTTTTAATAAAAGGAAGAAAGTTAAAAAGAAGAAAGCAAAATGCTTTCACCTTAATGGACTAGATACTTATTCTTGTTACGAATTTGCTTATCCAGAGCCTAATGCACATGTCAAAACTAACATTGAGTGTCTTAATGAGTATCTTTCACACCAGCATGGTATACTAGACAACATTGTCTGTGTGTGTATGTGTGTGTATGTGTGTGTGTGTGTGTGTGTGTGTGTTATTTGTTTTTTATCAATCAGTTTCTCCCCCTCCCCTCTTCACAGGTTCTCCTCTCATCCCTGTTCACCCAACATACCCATCCAGTTCTCCTTCCTTGTTTCTCTCCGGATACATGTGGGCCTCCCTTGGATCTCAGTTAGCCATGGCATATAAAGTTTCAGTAAGACTGGGCACTTCCTCTTCTATCAATGCTAGAAGAGGCAATCAGAAGGAGGAACCAGGTAACAGAGTCAGAGCCCCTAATCTCACTGTTAGGATTCACACAAGAAGACTAAGCTATACCACTGTAACATATATGCACAGGGATTAGGTCAGTCCCATGTTGGAGAGATAATTGGAATCTGGGGGCATTTCTTCAATGAGCTAGAAACCTAGAGAAATGGAAACTCCCAGGAATAGATGAGGGTGACCCTAGCCAATTCTCTTAGCAATACAGGATATGGAGACTAAACCAGTCATCTCCAGTAACAAGACACATCTTTCAGTGGAGGGACTAGGACACTAATGGAGCATTACTTCTTACAAAGGAAATCTCTTCACACAAAGAGGATTACAACATTAGACCCATATTCATGGAAACCACTAGTTTAATATGTCCTCCACCATCCTTTATCAACAAGCATGGTATAATGGTAACATAGCTTTTCAAAGTTAAGATACCATTTATGTGGTGTTTGCATAACGGTCTGTGACACTGCCTTTCAGAAGGTTGTATATGTTTTGAATCAGGTTGCAGTATATTGTATCCTGTCTTTCTTAGCCATCAGTTATGGGTCAAGGAATTCTACTGTAGAAATTGGAATGTTTCCCCTCAATGTTACCTCTTATGGCCCAGGAAAAATCGCTTACTGCTGCAGTGACTTTATGTTTTGCTCTCCTAGAAATGTGCTTTCAGGAGCTGGAGTATTACTAACTGGAGACACAGTAAATATTTCTTCAAATTAGAACCTGATATTTCACCCTGGTCAACCTGAGCTTTCAATGCTCTGATGTGAACATGTTACTAAAGGATTAACAGTGCTAGGAGATGTGATTAGTCCCCACTAGTGAGGGAAAACTTGGTTGTTCTTCTGCAATGGAGTAGAAGATTATGTCTGGATTACTGCAGAACCTTTAGGACTATGGTCTGTATTACTATGTCCTGTGATTAACGCCAGTGGGAAACTGAAACTAGAACTAATCCATGTAGGATGATACAGTGCCCATGATTTTCAGAATGAATTTAGAGATCACACATTGAGGGAAATTATCAAGACCTTCAAAGGTGCTATTGTATAGGGAAATAAATAATGAGAGGTAGTTGTATAAGTTCAGTAATACAAGCTAAGATCACATGAACAGCTGTGGAAATAAGAATTTATTTGTTAAAAACATCTTTTTGTGTATAAACAAGCATATATATCAGTATTTATGATTTAATTCAATATTTCCAATGGGTGAAGACAGTGATTGATATATTCATGGTTACTAAAGTTATGGGGAAAAAAGACTAAGTATTCCTCAAAGGACATCACCATCTACTTTTAAATGTATAATGAATTTGACATTGTATTTAAGATTGTTGTATCATATTAGTTGGAACATGTGACCGGGTTCTTGTTTTTATAAGGAATAAAACATGACAGGAAGAGATTTGATTGTGTGTCATGTTGATGTAGGATGGATTTTGATTGGTTAACCTCTGTTTACGACTGTATTGCATCAGGAATAATCTAACAAGCTATTAGGAAAGCCTTTAACATATTTTCTTAATGAGATTACTATAAGCAGAATGACCTATGATTTTCTGGTAACAGACCACACAAAGTATATAGGACAAAACACTTCCATTTTTAGAGATAGAAACTCACTCATCTACCAAGTCAATCTCTACTGCTGCTTTGAAATTAGTTCACTGATATTAGTCCAGAATCTTTATAATTTCAAGACAAAATGAAAATCAGTATCTCTCCAGTAATCTTCACGGGCTATAATACCAGATTTGGACTGCTGAGACATCTAGACTCTTGAATTGAACTACTGGATTTTCAGTCACTCCAATGTGAGATATCTATTTCCGTTGCTGACCAGCCTGGAACACAACATGGAAACCTATCTCATAAATCCCATAAATATACACATATATGTATATATTCTCTATGCTGTCTTCCTTTAAAGAATCCAGACATCCAGTGCATTTTCTGTACCCTCATGCTCTACTGTGTGAGTAGTGGTTATTATAAGTTCTTATTAGTCTACTCCCCAGACCTACTACTATTTGTTTTTTCATATGATGGTCTAAAATCTTTCTAAAACAAAGAAATAAATAGTACTGTGTAGCTAGAGTTTTCCTTGCCTGGCCCACAGTCAGGACAAATCTCTATCACCCGTCAGTCCCACAGCCACTCAGACCCGACCAAGTAAACACAGAGACTTATATTGGTTGCAAACTGTATGGCCGTGGCAGGCTTCTTGCTAACTGTTCTTACAGCTTAAATTAATCCATTTCCATTAATCTATACCTTGCCACGTGGCTCGTGGCTTACCGGCATCTTCACATGCTGTTTCTCATCATGGTGGCTGGCAGTGTCTCTCTCAGCCTTCCACTTCCCAGCTTTATTCTCCTCCTTGTCCCACCTATACTTCCTGCCTGGCCACTGGCCAATCAGTGATTTATTTATTGACCAATCAGCAACACACTTGACATACAGACCATCCCACAGCAGTACTGTGTGTTTTTATATCATTCATACCCCATAAACTCTCATAAAGACAGAAGTAGATAAAGCAAATACCTAACAGTTATTTTCTGCTGGACATACCTTTCTTTCTTTGGATTCATGCACTGATGTATTTACAAAATTCTGCTGCAATAATAAAATGCTTTGCTGGCTGTGGTGGCACACGCTTGTAATCATAGCACTCGGGAGGTCGAGGCAGCCAGATCTCTGTGAGTTTGAGGCCTGCCTGGTCTACAGAGTGAGATCCAGGAAAGGTAAAAAGCTACACAGAGACACCCTGTCTCAAAAAACAAAAAAAATAATAATAAAATGCTTGACCTGCAGATATAAACATTACTGATGTGAATTTACTTAATATGTTTATAGTCTGAGAACTCAAACAGCATTGCAGTTTCCAAGAAGTACTTGTCACCAATTTCTTTTAGTAGATGTAATGCGAATGAATGGAGAGAGAGACACAGACACACAGAAGGAAACAGAGAGAGAGAGAAAGACAGAGACAGAGAGATGAAAGAAGAAAGAGTAATATTGAGCATAGTGAAAATTTTGCATGTTATTTTAATTGTTTTTAGTGTTTTTTATAATGTAAAATAATTTTAAATTCCAATGTATTTCATTCATATTCTTCCACTCTCTCAGGTCCTTCCAGATCCTCTTCTTCTCCCTATCCTCCAAATTCAAGTTCAGTCTCAAAAAAAAAAAAAACAGAAGCTCAGTAAAAGAAACCACACA